AATTTGAAAATGCTACAATAAGAAATTCTACATTATATTATTATACCCTTTCAACACCAAATTTGTTTTAATATTAAGGGGCATCGAATTTTTTGAGGTGTCGAGGTGGGGCATGGAGCAAAAAAGGTTAAGAACCACTGGTCTATATAAAAGCTATAACTGTAAAAAAGTACTAATAGAAGAATTATCTTCTTAACACTGTAGACCTAAGTTTAGTAATAAACTGAGTACCTGAACAACATTAAACATTTATACATCTTCTTGCTCAATAGACCGAAGTAATAATAAACTTGGGGAAATTATTTCAGGATAACTACAAAATAGTTTTAGTACATTGTTTATTGAACTGAGAATGAGAGCACTTTCATCAAACTAAACAAAAACGTACCCAGTTAAACATCAGTACAATTAGGCCCATTAGTACATGAATGTTTCCTACAGAATTATTTTTATATAATCCCTAATGATGACTTTGATTCACAGAATATTTCTACGCACACTTCCACATCAGTTCCTTCACTAAAGAAAGTGTGTATAGTTACTTTAGTGTTTTGTTATTCTACATAAAGCGACAAAGTCATTAATGATGATGACGTTAAGTTTGGACCTTTCGCTGGAATGACTCCTGGTGATCAATGGCCGATAGGGGGATTAAAGATATTTTCATAATATTAATTGTTTTTTACTGAATTTATGATAAAACTTTGTTTTTATAGTAATTAGTAATATCCTGTCTTTATTCAGAATCATATATATATATATATATTGCTTACAGTTATTTTAATATCTTTTTAACCTTAAACTTTGCAAAAACTAACATTAGACGATAACAAACTAGTTTTCTTTATCGATAATAAAAACCCATTTTAAAGCGCTATTACAACTTTCAAGTTATATATATATATATACACACAGATATATATATTTATAAAGAATCAATGTCACACTGATGTTCAGACTTGAGTTCTATTAAGAGACGAATAAAAAACAGAGATACCATTATCGGTAGTTAATTATGATATCATAAGCATTAAAATCTATTTCAATCGACTTTAATGAAGATCACCTTAAATTATGAATACCTATAAGAGTATGAGTATTAATAGGTTTATTGGTTGGAACACAATACGCATTAAAAATTATTCAAGTCAATAATTCCCTACAACACTTATAATTTTTTTAAATCTCATCTTACATCTTATTCTTAGGCTTTGATAAAAAGTTTAAATAATTACTTTGAATAATCATTTGTGAAAATAATTCAAGTAAATATCTTATCATCTTCAAAAGTTTCATCTACAAACAAGTTTTTTTTTAGGGGGGGGGGGAGAAAGAAAATGTAAATTGATTGACAAAACTTCAAAGTCTACATTTAGTTACCAACAAACCAAACGCGGTTGTTCAATCTCAATACAAGCCGAGAAGAAGAATATCGCATACAATACACATTAAACTCGGGTTTGACAACTGCTTTGAACATGGATCATATAGCTACTTAGTACCATTGTCCAACAATATGTCAAGTAGATTATTGTTTACTCACCCAGTGCCTGCAGAAAGTTAACACGAAATGGACGGTAAAGCTTTCCCATATCGACGCCAGAGAGAGCTCGATAGCGAAGCTCCTTGTTGTCACCCTTATCTTTTGGCCACCATTCGAACGGTCACAACATTTCCGATCTCTACTAATGCTCTTACTATACTAACATAAACAGACTTGTACTGGAGTTAGTTATTCAACCTTACTTTACGCACCAGAGTCAGATCTCGCGCACATCGCGCAGATCAAAGACGAGCACATAGGCAGCACAAGCGTATATTTCTACGCAATAAAACTAAGTTTCAATGAATTTAGCTTCGAAATAATCACATAAAGCATTTTTGGACAAATAACAAATACACATCTGTTAAATTGTTTTTTAGATGTTCGGTAATACAGTTTTTAGTACACGTTTATCGCCTTAGAAAAAGTAAAATGTATAACAACAATATCAAGAAAATATTACTACACCGCATGCTCAGTTCAGTCACCAGTATTGAAGCGCTCGACAAGCCACGTGCGTTTCTCACGTGCAAAGCAAGCAACTGTCAAGGCCTCCGAAAATACTTTAGTTTTAGCTGGACAGTAAACAATAAATATAGTATTAATTTTGAAAGAAAAATTAAATATAATTATTTTTCACTGTCTTCGTAGATTTCTGAAATTTCACACATACAATAGTTAAAAAGCGTCCAATTTTACATTACACTAAATAATTCATGTGGAGAACCGTGATCAACCCTGTCTGTAAAAGGCCCGGCATGGCCAGGTGGATAGGACGCTTGACACGCAATCTGAGGGTCGCGGGTTCGAATCCCCGTCCCACCAAACATGCTCGCCCTTTCAGCCGTGGAGAGCTTATAATGTTACCGTCAATCCCACTATTCGTTGGTTAAAAAAGTAGCCCAAGAGTTGGCGGTTGACTAGCTGCCTTCCCTCTAGTCTTTCACTGCTAAATTAGGGGCGGCTAATGCAAATAGCCCTCGTGTAGCTTTGCGCGAAATTCAAAACAAAGAAAACCTGTCTGTAAAACAGAAAAATGGTTTATACGTGTGTTGTTTGGGTATTCTTTTGTTCACTTAGTAATCCTATATTTATAAAGGAATTTCAAGAATATGCAGCATTGATTCCATTAACTTATTATTGTGAATTAATCAGTCAGACAAGCTGTTTAAAATGCTTCAAAATAAATGTGAAGCCTAACCTATCATTTGATTTACCACTTGTCACCGAGTTATACCGCTTTTGGGGAATTCCGCCCCTCATCAGTAACTCTGGACAGGGCAAATCGAACGACTGAGACAGGCTTCATATAGTGATGGAATGTATATTATATGTATCGGGTGTTCTGAAATAACAAAACAGGTTTCATACAGTGGTGGAGTGTATATTATATGTATCGGGTGTTCTGAAATAACAAAACAGGTTTCATACAGTGGCGGAGTGTATATTATATGTATGGATTGTTCTGTAATAACAAAATAGGTTTCATACAGTGGCGGAGTGTATATTATATATGTATGGGGTGTTCTGAAATATCAAAACAGGTTTCATACAGTGGCGGAGTGTATATGGGGTGTTTTCGTCTACCACTATATAAAACCTGTCTTATTCTTTCCATTTGCCGTTGCCCAGGGTTCCTAATGAGGAGCAGAATTCCCTGAAAACAGCATAACTCAGTAACAAGTGGAAGAATTCCATGATAGGTTGAGCTTCACGTTTACTTTTAGCAAGAAAAATCGTTTGTTTAGAAATTTTAGTTTAGATCTCTTTTTTTTTTTTTTTACAAATTTGCAGCTTCACATTACACGTCGAACTGTGTTACACCGTTACAAGGGCTTGGTTTGTTTAAATTATGCGCAAAGCTACACAAGGGATATTTGCACTAGCCGTCCCTAATTTAGCAGGGAAAGACTAGGAGGAAGGCAGCTAGTCATCACCACCCACCGCCAGTTCTTGGGCTACTTTTTAACCAACGAATAGTGGGATTGACCGTCACATTATAACCCCTCCACGGCTTAAATGGTGATCATGTTTGGGGGGGGGGGATTCGAACTCGTGACTCTCAGATTACGAGTCGAGCGCCGAACCATCTGGCCATGCCGGGCCTTGTACGAGAGAACGACGTAAACTTATGTTTTTATTTCTTAGGGAGTTAACTGTATTTAAAATGAGTCTGGATAAAAGAAAACTTCATAACTACGGTACTAGCAACTCAAGCTAGTCATGGGTATTAAACTGTCCATTATTTTCATATATAAAACTACAAGCGAAGCCAGTGTCAAGTACAGAATACATAATATTCGTCATAGATTTCAAAATCCTGTTATTTGTTTCAAAGACGATAAATATTGTTCAAAGTCACTCGAGTTACAGGTTTATCTTCGACCTCAAATCAAACCCACTTCAAGTTTAGCAGAGAATGATTCCAATCGACCTTCAACTAAACATGTTTGAACTTGTTTCAATTCTAGTTTCAAGATAACGAACATATTTTGAATTTTGCAAAATCATTGAACATGGAGCTTTAAAAATAATGTAAAAATGCGTGTTATATTAACATTAAATCATCTGAATCTATTTAGTTAGGACTATGAATTTCCTTAATCCTTTCTTCATGTAAAAACTTTATATATTGTTACGACAGCGGAAGTCACGTGACGTTGGTAACACGTAATGAGTTCTAGGCGCCCTCTATTCTTGTATATAAGTGCGCCAGGCAATTAATCGGAATGGTATAGCAGACAGAGAGATTGAAGATATAGACGGACAATTGAGTCAAGCGCGGTAGTAAGTAAAGTGCGTGAATCGTTCGTTGTAAATTATAGCGTGTGTTTAAGTTAAGGTGACTGTGGAAATTAAGTGTATTGCAAAGTTGAATTGAGAAAGAATAAACTAGTTTTATTTGAGAAAGGACTTGTATCGCTGAAGTTCTTCGGAATGAATTTTTACGAGTAATTAACAAACGATCAGAGACGTAACAATAGGTTTTATTTTATTGTACTGAAACAACTCTAAGGAAATGATAAAATGAAGAAGTTTTAATGACAAGTAGTAGATGTCATAAAGATTATTTTATTATTAAACCTTATATGGCATTGTTATCCACTTTGCCAAGGCCATCAGGACTATAAACAATAAAATCCGTTACCAACTTACGATCAAGTTATTTTTTCGGAAATGTCGGAACATAATACTTGCAAAAATTATAAAAGAAAGGAAAAGACTGCTAAAATACATTTTAATGGAAGTATTTAGTGTACGAGGACATTTTGTCACCATTTTAAGTCTTCAGAGAGTAGTTCATGCAATTTTCAAAAGCGTAGATTGTAAATTTGTGCTTTATTACAACATTCAGTGATAATACTTGTCACTTTTCACAGCCTACAGAAAGTTGAAGATTTTGTCGCAATACGATGATTTTGTTTGTTTTTTTAAGTGTGGAAGTCATTCTTTATTATATATCTTCATTATAAACTTTTGTTTTTAATAAGTTAAATAACACAAAAGTTTGCTTTCACTAAAGTATTTGAGTAACCTAGGCTATTACATTTTTTATAAAGTATAATATGTTTATGTGTCTAGTGATATCTTTATTGGTGTTTTGATCAGTTATTTAGAATAAAAACTGATAATAATCAGCATTCCTTAAGCTTCTGGCAGTATGAATTGCCACAGATGGTTTTAAAGTGCTGCCATCTATTGCTATAGATGAAACATTTGTGATCTTGTATAACGAATAAACTACGTTAACATTTAAAAAGCATAAGGGGAAAAAAACTTGCAAACAGTTGATAGAATGGCGCTTATGCTGCCATCTTTTGAAATGTAATAGATTCTAATTGTTTTGGTTTTTGAGAGAGTACTGAACATGACTTCAATAGTAAAAGAACTAACAAACAAATAATTAAATCAGTAGTTGAGTCAAATATTAGAATATTACTGCAACTGCAAATTCCGGAAAATTGTTTCGTTTACCGAATATTGTAAAACACTAAATACAAAATAATTAAGAATCTCACTTCAAGAAGGATATTATTTCATGTCATTATAAATAATAAATTAGCTAGCTAGATTCGAGGTGATTGTTGACGAATTACATCTGATGGCTTTACATAAAGTTCCCGTAATAACATATTTATTTCCTGGTAGAATATGTCGTTGGTTCGTTGTTGTCAAGCGCAAATTTACACAATGGGCAATCTGTACTCTGCCCTCCACGAGAATCGAAACACGATTTTTTAGCGTTGTAAGCTGAAACATTAGGGGCGTAGATTATGTTTATAAGGTTAGATACAATTGTTATATTAATATTTTACTCTATAACAGATGGCGCTGTCATAGTTGGTATGCCCAATTATACAAAAACAAAATTTTTGTGTAATGATTGGCTTATTTATCAAAATTACTAGCATTATTTCATTTCTGATTACAATTTTTTTTAGTCAAAAGACGCTAAACAAAGTTTTTATTTGATAAATCTCTGAATTATTAATTTTCTTATTATTTAAATAACAAATAAAAACAATTGTTGTTGTTAAAGTGTCTAATTTTTATGGTACTTATTTTTAGCTCTATAATTTGGTTCATAAAAGAAGTATATTACGATGTAAGTTAACTGGAGCTCCTCCATAGTCAACAATAAATAACATTTTATATAAATTTTCATTTTGACTTCTTGAGAAAAAAAAAGAAGATAATCTAAATTTTGAAAACAACACTTTCATTTCGTTTTTTTATTTCGCTCAAAGCTACACGAGGGCTATATGCTCTAGCCGTCCCTAATTTAGCAACTAGTCATCACGACCCACCGCCAACTCTTGGGCTCCTCTTTTACCAGCGAATAGTGGGATTGACCGTCACATTATAACGTCCCAACGGCTGAAAGAGCGAGCATGTTTGGTGGGACGGGGATTCGAACCCTTGACCTTCAGATTGCGAGTCGAGCGCCTTAACTACCTGGCCATGCCGGGCCTTTCAGTTCGTATACTCAAAATTATGAAGTGTTACAGCTGATAGTGTCACTTATATTTATAGTAATGAACTCATTGCCCATATCTTTGTATAGCTTATAGTACATTCAGTAACATTTTTGTTTTCGCCTTGACTTGGATTACTTTAATTACAGTATTAATACTTGTGTTATTTATTATACAACTTTTTAGTTTACATATTATTTTTTTCTATATTCTTATATCGTCCCACTACTCTACCCTTTTGGCATTATTATTTAATTTATTTTGCGAGTTAATGTTTAATGATTGTTGAGTTTTTCATAACAATAAAGTTAAAAGCAATTATTTTAAAAGCGGTAGTTATGACAAGTTTAGTTACGTAATTCGGTAAGAGTCGTATGTTGTATTTGCAATTCATTGATGTCATGGCTATAGAAATTTCTAGGAGCCTCAATAATAAACATATAAATAGCGGCGACAAAACGAGCGGGAGCGGATTAAAAGTAAAGTCAAGTGAAAGAGAAGTTCAATAAGAGAAAAATTAGAAAACGTGAGGTTAGCAGTAGTGTGAGTGAATAGTCTTAATGGTTGATATTTTAAAGTGAGATTAACAGTTTGATAGCGATAAGGAGGATAATGTGTTTGGCCAAAAGGTTTTCTAAGCTAATTGAACCCGCCTGTGTGGACTTTGACGAAAATATGATAATTTTTGGAAGTTTATGATACAACTATGGTAAAGCACGAGGTAGCGTAAATGAATTATTCATTGATACTATTGTGATAAAAGTAGATAAAAATAGTTCGGCTTGTCAACTGGATTCTTATGCAATTGAGTTAGCCTAAGTGGACTTTTATCAAGAAGAGAACTGTATAGTGTTTAAGATACAACTATAATCTCCGTAGTGTAAAGAAGTTTTGTACATACGTTTAACTTGTTTTCAATATATTATTTTAAAACAAGTGGAGTGCGTGCTGTCCGTTTATTGTTCGAATTCATTGCCAACAAATCACAGACACCTACTGTAGAAGAATCCTTGGCTCACACCTATATATATATATATATTTATAGTTCTGACAGCGATATAGCTAAAAACATTAGCATGTATCTTAGTATTTATTAGGTTTGTAAGTCATTTTTAACTCGCCTTCTATTAACCTAAATTAATTTAGGTGTGAATAATAATATTATAGTATTTATTGTTTGATGGATCAACCATTCAATGGTTATATTACAATTTCATGTTATCGAAAGTAAAATTGAAAATGTAACCTGCAATTTAGATGTCTAGGTGCAGCGAACCAAAGAATGCATTAGGCTTCTATGTCACAAATCATATTTTCAATTTTACTTTTGGTATAATGAAAGGAAACCTGTAATATGTATCATAGCAATTTATCTCGGGATACATTGCTAGGGAGAATTATATAAAGTTTTGTTTCTAATATTGATGACAAATTCTCCAAGGAATGGGTAATCTGAGGTAGTGCATGAAAGAAACGACTAGATTTAAAATGTCTTGTAAGTTAGTCATATTTTACTCTTTAACGTCTTTCTTTAACAATATTGGTTAAAATGCTTAATGTATATTATTTATTACTTTTAATTTATTATATATATATAATTGTAAGGAATATTTTGGTTTGTTAGTCTAGTATAGGGAGGTAGGCTTAACTTAAATCTTAAGTTGGTCGAACCTTGCGAGATTGTATTGGGATATCGTCCGGAACATTTGATGTGTGTATACATATA